AATTGTTAAAAAACAAAATTGAGTGGTGGAAACACCATCAAAGCCATCAATATCTGGGCCATACCTGTAATAAGATACACTTGCCAGAATTATTAACTGGACAAAATCTGAATTGGATCATTTGAATCAAAAAGACAACGGTAATTTACTGAACTGTCAATACTTAGTAAATGTGCAGGAAACAAAACATGAATACCAAAATGATATAATAAAAATAAGAATGAATGCTGGCAAAAAAAAGTATTACATGGTCAATTTCTATAAAAGATTGAGAGGGACGTTGATAAAGATTAAACCTAACAGTGGCTTACAAACAGAACATTTAAAAAAGAAAAACAAAAGAAATCAAAGTCTTTGTTTTGGCTGCTCAAGAGCAAGATATTTAAACTAATGCAATCAAGGTCAGAACTGAAAAACTGTCAAATGATTCAAAATGCAGATTGTGCAAAAAAAGCAGAAGAATGTAGATCATATATTCAACTTATGCAGGAAGATTGCATATACTGGTTATAAACAGTGACATAAAGCAATCACTTAAATAATTCACTGCAGTACCAGTAAAAATCACATGCCACTAATAACAATGATGGGAAATATAATTTTAAAAGTAGTAGACAATGAACATACATACATACATACATACATACATACATACATACACATACATACATACATACATACATACATACATACATACATACATATATATATATATATATATATATATATATATATATATATATACAGTATATATATATATATGGAACACCATTTGAGCACCATTGTGACAATGGTGATAATGTAAATGTAAAAGACAGCTTTACTTGAAACAGGTTACATCATGTAACAATATTTTTAACACCATAAAACAAGAAAATCTGCCTATCCCAGGTGCTTGGGAAGAGCTCAAAAGGTGGATAAAATTGCCAAACCAACTCTAAATATCTGGCTGAATGTGCAACCCACCACAATAATTCATGGAAAAAAAACCTCACTGAACTACTGAACAGAGCAAAAATTATCTCCACCTGTGAAAATGGTAAATCCATTTTCAACAGGTAAAATTCTTGTGGAAAATGAAAAACACCTAAGACCTTATTTCAGAGTGCATGCGTATACCTCATCACCTAACGAGTCATTTCTTCAGAAAGGATTCACATTCTTTGACATATATAAAAACAAATGGCATAGGAAGAAGAGATTGAAAGAGGACAGACAGAAAATGAAAAGAAAAAAGCTTTCAATTCCAGATTAAAGACTATTTTGGATCATGGTTGACTAAGGCAAATTGGGTGTAGTTTTATTGATACCTTGTAAAACTATTTGCTTGTTTTTTCAATTGCATTCCATCAACAATATGGATAAGCAGTAGATTCTCTTGAGCTGAATGTCAAAACCTAAGGGACGCACAATGAAAAAACATGGTACCAAACCTAGTCTATTTTCATGAAGGTTATATTATCTTAAATAGTTCTTAATTTTTAAAAAGCTGGTAGACAAAAGGATAAGCAGTACGACAGAGGTGTTAACTTTAAAAGCAAGTTTGGACAGTCATATTATGGCAAAGTGGGTGAACAAGGAAGAAAATAAAAGGTGATGAAGACACATCAGACATATCTTAAAATAAGGTGATAACAAAAAGTAGCTATTTAATTGACTTCTGTCTGATTTTTGATAAGAGTGGGAAGAACTAGCTATACTACTGCTAAAACAGATAATGTTGCAATTACATTTTGCTGTGTAAGGGAAAAAATATTATTATCTATGTAGAAATACACCCTTCTCCAACCTGGAATTTTCCAGAATTGTTCCCCGGGAACATGGCCTTTGGGAATTTTGGAACTGAGCTTTCAGCACACAAAAAATGGTCCTATATTAAACTGTATACTTTAAACTCTGACTGTAATAATATATTAAATTCTTTATCTTAGTGTCATTAGAACAGAATTTTTCCCATGTGAATAAAAGGGAAAAAATCACACAATTCTCTACCTATAGCTTCTTTCCTAATTCACTCTGGGAAAATCATAGGCAAAGTCATGACATGAGGAAACTAAACCTTGTGATAAAATATCTTGAAACTTAACCTTGGAAAAATAATATACTTAAAGCTCTGAAAAAGTCTAAAATTAGCAAAATGCTTAAAGGTTGGGAAAAACAGTAAAGATCATTGATAAAGCAAAGAAGGGTGAAGTGAAGGAAGAGAAGGTTTTCCAATGTTCTGAAAAACAATGATGATTCCCGACTTCAAAACGAAAATCTGTTTGATTTTTAAAAGTTTCAGAAGACTTCTGAGTTTAATGTTATTCCCCAATGATGGTTTTACTTTGAACTAAAAAAAATGAGTTGAGCTTGAAAGATGTATGTATATGCATGAAAATGTCAGAAAAGGAAGCTACACTTTACTTTCTTATTTTCGTTGAAATGAAAGGACACAGTGTCAAAAGTATTAAATATTAACCAATATGATTACAGGTAGTCCCCAACCTATGAACCACAATCGAGCCCAACATTTTGGTTGCTAAATGAAACATTTGTTAAACGAGTTAGCCCCATCTTATGACCTTTCTTGCCACACTTGTCAGTTGAATCACTGCAGTTTTTAACTTAGTTAAATGGTTGTTAAGTGAATCTGGCTTTCCTATTAACTTTGCTTGTCAGAAGGTTGCAAAAGGGGACATTGCAACCGTCATAAATATGACCACATGACCACATGGATCCTGCATGTGTGAAAAACAGGCGTTAAGTCACTTTTTTCAGTGCAGTTTTGTCTTTGAACAGTCACTAAACAAACTGTTGTAAGTCAAGGGCTACATGTTTTTGTTATAATATGGCAATATAATAAAAGCCACATTAATCGTTAAAGCCATGTTTTTCAAAACTATGACCCAGTCACACAAAAGGCACATTAATCATGCTATTTGTGTGACTAGACCCTGGTGTGGAAAAATTCCCATGTTAAATAAAAGTGCCAAAAGTTATTTATTAAATGTCTTCTCTGTGTATCTGATACATGTGATGCTATGTACATACTGCTTTTGATTTTTGCTTTATATCTCTTTGAGTTCTTCTTAGTATATAAGGAATGATATTCTATACATTATATAAGAACATAAGAGAGAGTGAGATCCTATGGCTTTGACTCTCTTCTGGCAGATCAGCATCTATCCGAATTGCAATAAACACTGTAAAAAATTCTAAGTAGCTCATTATATACCCTGTCTGCTTTTATGGCTCCAAGCCAGAATATAATGATGAGCTGTAACTTGTTAAGGACAACTAATTTTTTGTTCCTGGCTGTCTCAGGGGCTTATCTCGCTTATTCACTCTCACTTTATTTCACTGTTGACATGTTTCTGTTAACTGGATGTCATCTGCCTGCCTTGATTTTATGCACAAGCAGTGGGATGCATTTTTCCATGCAACTATTCTGCTTTGAGTTGCATTAGGTTTGTCATTATCCTCTCATTTTCCCCTTGCACTTGTAACATTTCATCTATTCCTGCCTCGTTTTATTTTATTTTATTTTATTTGAACCATGGTGCACCCACATTATGCTTTATACATGATCTTGCTCCCTTTGAAGCCGGCAGATTTCAGAGCCAACCCTCGTCAGGAGAAGTGCCTACGACCAATTTAGCAGGCTGAGGGCCCCGAGCTTCAACATCTCAATCTAAAGGGGGTCACGGAGTGGCACAAGCGAGTGTCAGCAAGTGCTGTTTAATTGCCAATCTAGGCTTCTCCGTGGTGTTTAAAGTATAATGACCCATCACTTAATTCTGAGAAGTCCTGGCCCTGCTGCTGAATAGAATGAATATCAAAGGATGTGCCAGAGTAGGGCAAGGAGCATACAATTCTTATAACTGTTGTAAGTATAATAGACTTGTACTTCTGTCATCCCCCTATCACAATAATGTATTTAGTTTGCTGTATACCCTTTCTAACTAGCTCTTTTTCATAAAGGCGTAGCTGAGGAATATATTGTCCCCCTTTCTCTTACATTCCCCTCTCTTGTGAAAAACTAAACAAAATAATAGAACAACCTCAGTGATAACAATTAAACTGAAGTCGATGACATCTTTTCAGACCCTGCTTTCTTTTACACATGTACAAAATTAATAGCAAGATAACAACAGAGAATGGAATTTTAATAATGTGTTTGCAGATAGAATTTGTTTATTTGGCTTCTTTCATTGGCCAAGAAACTTCCTTTCTACTTCTTCAAATCCCTACTATCTTTAAGACACTTCCCCTTCTGCTGTCTAGCCTTCAGAGACATGAGGTTGAATGTAGATCCTTGCTATGTAATACATGCTAATTCAATTATGAGCCATCAACAAAATGGATTAGCTGATTCAGCCCATCAGGAAAGTCTAAACCTCCACCGATTTAATTAACTGGACTCAAAATCAGATGAACAGAGAATAAAACTATCATTAGGAGCAATTAGTGATTACTTAAACATAGTCCTACCAAGCAGTTTGTAAATAAACTAGCACATCTTGGAAAATTAGGTGGAATTAATTGGAGTTTGGGGAAAAGAAAATAAATATGTATCTCTTAATCATTAGAGGATCAGGTGGGTCTCTTTATCTGAAGTAAAAATATTTGGGAACAAGGAGATATTTTAACACCCCTCTACCAACAATAAGTAGATTGCTTCTGTTCTTCACAAGAAACTCATGTTAGAAGGAAGACACCACTGGGAAAACAAAATGTGTAAGAGCATAAGCTCTTGGCTTCTTAATATCCTAAGTTTAGTAAAGTGCTTTCCTCCAGTTAGCTATCAGTTAAAACAAATTAACTTCTAAACACCGCATTTCATTATATATTATAGGGGATTTTTTTAATGGAAAACAATGGAGGAATTTTTTTATATTAATTGGGGACATCAGTATATAATTAAGGCATATGATTTAGTAAAGCTTTGTCACTCAAAATGAATAATAAATGGAAGTAGCAATTGACCCATATCTTAGACCCAAGTATTTTGAACTCACCTTGACATGGAAGCATTGACTGTTAAAGCAGTGGGATAGGGATGTCGGAATCCTCCAGTTGTGATTGGATAGACTGGCTGACCTTGCCTAGAAAGATAGGGAAAGAAATGAATAAAAAAATAACAATTATAGGTTTTTTTGTTTTTTTAAAAAAGAAATAAAGTTCTCTGCCCAGTAAGTTTTATTCTCGTTTGATTGGAACAAAAATCTTGGGGATTGTACAGCAACAGATCAAAGGAAAGAAATTCAGAACAATTTGAATGCCATAAATCTGATACGAATGGCTAATTAAATTTTATAACCTCTGCTTATGTCAATAGAGACCCTCTCCCCAAGCTGAAACTAGGTGTTTTGTTGTAATAATTAAAGGCGAAGTCTTGCTTGCTTTAATGGAGCCATCACACTAATTGAGGGCTACACATCCAAAGGAAAACAATAATGAATGTAAATTTATACCAAAATAAAGTACAGTGAATCAAAGGACTTCAGTTGCGCTTTGGGCCTCTTTTGGTATTTAGATCTCAGTGAGAAAACATTAAATTAACAGAGCTTAATTTGTAGCCTTTTGTCAGATTAACAAGTGTTGACAAGAGTTACCAGGGGAGAGTCCCCAAGAAGTATTGTGGGTAACCAATAGACAATCATACCTCATTACAATAATTAAAAAATACAGCAAGCTACCAAACCACATTCTTATCTTCATAGATTTTTCTGACTGAGGTTTATTTGTCTATGTTATTTTTTTATCTGCATTTCAAATGTTTGAACTAAATGGAAAATATTTTGTCTGGTATCTATTGTTATAGTTGTTGGTACTAGTAATAGCCTATATACATCCAATTTGTTTTGGTATGGAGTGGATCCTATGTTTGTCAAATGTAAATTGGTGAAAAAAAAGCATAAAGGGATAAGTGGAATAATCATATTTTAAAATATTTGATATTGAGGATTTTGGCCATGACTGTTGTAGAAGTACAATAATGTGGTTTATGCAAATCGTAAGTAAAACTGTTAAATATTAATGTATTTCTTTTTTTCTGCAGAAGTGATTCATGAAGATATATACTATAGAGGTAGCAAATGAAAGAATACATTGTAAAATCTTGCTACTGTATAGAAATGCATTGCATTTTTCATTTATTAACTTTTGCTGGCCTAAAAATAATTAATTTTCTTCAGTCTCTGGACCATACGTTTCATCTATAAAATAAAAATAACTTGTATAATGTTAAGAAGGCTTTCACAATATATAATAATAAATAACTTTATAGAGGTGTGCACGGTGAAAGCCATTTGTTCCAGTTGTGCAAAGCATCTGACAACTTATTGAAAATAAAACACATTAATAATAATTTTATGCAACAATTTGCATAATTTGCACTATTAATATGCAAAGGAATGTGTAATGTAGATCTGCAATATAGGTTTGCCATGTAGATTTTATTAGACATAAAAGATAATTTAAAGCTAAAAATTAGAAAATTCAAAAATCAGGAAAATAATGAGCAAAAGCCAAGCAAGCTAAAACGTTGAAATATTATAGTGCCTAAAATGTCTGGTGCATTTGACCAGATAATTATGTGAAGATTTGAAATTATTGAGCATGTTGTAGTAAGTAAATTGGAACAAGTATATGCTAAGAATTGTTTGCTACTGAGACAATTAGTCTAAATGTGTTAGACAATTTACATGCCAAATACATTTATGTTTCAATTTTTTTAAATGTTTGATAATTTCTCCTTTTTTGTTTTGTTTTCTACTAAGACATTGAAAAATTCTGCCTGAATAATTCAAGTGTGATCCTCATGTCTTGAGTCATGTGAGGTTCATGAACAACTGTATAGTTGTTATTACATAGCTTTAAAAAGGCAATAAACACTTTGATTAAAATTTGAATCCTTGCTTAATTTTCATGTTATTTACACATTTTAAAAACAGTTTGTTTTCTTCATCAATATTTCTCCTATCCAGCACGTAGCTCCCTCTTAATATTTGAAACATGTTTCATAAAAATAAAAAATATTCCAAAATAATTTATCTTTAGAGATAAATATAAATGTGATGTTTTACAAACAAGTATTAAAAATCATAAAAATAACGATCAAAATTAGCAGACTGCTAACATTAAACTATCCTGGAATTTTTATTTCCAATACTTTGTACTAACATTTGAAATAATCATTTCATGGATCATCAGAAATCAAAACCAATTAAAAGCTGCACACCATTCTTATTCAATATTTTATGACCAATCATTTAAACTTTATTGATCAAATTATTAATTTCTCAATGTTATAAATTGGCATCTGGCAAACAGGTTTATTTTAAAATGCACATTTCAGGCAAACGAAATAACAATGATAAACATCCCCTTTTATGTATATATTTACAAATACACATACATTAAAAAATGAAAAATAACAAAAAATTAAAAAATGGAACTCCTTACTGTGGTACTAACCATCCTAGCGGATGGGGAATTTGCCCTACAGTGCCCGGTGATAGTGGATAATAAGGAGATATATCTGGAGGATGTGGAGGCCGTGGAATTCCTAGGAAAGATGAAAGGGAAGCATCATAAAACTGGGTCATGGCAGAGCATAAAAAGAAAAAAATGAATGAGGTAGCACACAATCCTAATTTCTATGCCGTGAGTATTACCCTTTCCCATATTCAAAGGCAAGGCCTACTGACTGGCCTTCTTTACCAGAACAACCTATTTAGTACAGTACCACAAAAGTAGGACATTTGATCCGTCTTCTTCTCCACATTCAAGGACCATACAGGTCTTTGTTGTGCAAACCTTACAAGGATAAAGCTCCTACTCTACCTTCATTTTGTGCTATCAAGTGTGTTGCTTTTATCCATACTTTTAATAACTGAAGAGTTATTTTTCTAAAATAAGATCATCTTATGATGTGATGCCGGCCTTCGACTCAATATCTAGGAACACCCTATGGGAGAAATTAGAAGGCACTACGCCTCCTTTTCCTCATACAAAAATTGTATGCCAATTCCACCTTGAAAGTGAGGTGTAATCCCCAAGGGACTTTAACCGGCTTAGTTAGGGTACAAAAAGGGGTACGGCAGGGTTGCATCCTGTCTCCCTCCCTTTTTAACTTCTATATCAACCCCCTGATCGATCTCTTACAGAACCCTGATCTGCATCCGCCCAACCTAGCACATCGCAAAACCCCAATTCTTCTGTATGCCGACGATACAGTCATTATTTCGCAAACTCCTGTAGGACTGAAGAGAGCAATTAGGGCAACACTTGGCTACTGCAGACAGAACAAGTTGGTCCTTAACTTTGATAAATAAAATTTTTTAGTTTTTGCTAAAAGACCCAGCCAATACTCCTGGAAAATAGAAGGACATAGTTTGGAACAGGTTAGAATATTTAGATACCTTGGGGTGGTTTTCCACTCGCAAGGGACATGGAAGGCACATCTGGATCATACATTGCAAGCAGCCAATAGGTCCCTAAATGCAATCAAACATTACTTTTACACAGGCGGAGGTCAATTAGTACCTGCTGCCTTAAAACTTTTTGAGGCCAAAACATTAGCGCAAATTCTATATGGGGCACAAACAGGAATCCTTGCAAAGAAAAACTTGCTGGAAACCATACAATCCAAATTCCTGCGAGCTATCTTAGCTGCACCCAAAGGAACCCCAAATGCCCAATTAGAATTAAGATAAGCATGCCCTAAATCCAGGTAAGAGCCTGGAAGATGATGATCATTCACTGGCTTAAAATGCATTTCTTTCCACAAGGACTGTCCCCATTAGTGCTGACTGACAACTTTCCTTCCCCCGGGAAGCAGGCGATAGATCATAAACTGGGCTCTTATGGGCTGTCTTCGATATTCTTAATGTCCCTAGGCTTTGACCACCAAAGCAAGTAATATCCAATAGAATAAAGGACATGGAGTTCCAAGATGAACTAAATAGGTTGCCTTGCCACTGTAGGGATAGAATCAAACAGGGTGTGTGGGAATAGACAAGATATCTGAATGATCTGACCTTCCCAAAACAAAGAATAGCTTTCCTCAGAGACAGATTTAACATTCTTCCCTCAGCACTCCTACAGGGCAGGTATAAGAGAACACCAATAGCAGAACAGGTATGTATATGTGGTAAAGGAGAAGTCGAAGATATCTCACATGTTTTATTGTACTGTGAGTTTTACCGAGTTTATAGGACAGTATATATTCTCCCCTTATTAGAGAGATTGCCAGGGAGGTCAGACAATTTTTATGTAGGCTTTCTCTTCCAGGACTCAAACCCTTCTATCACACATGCAGTGGCAAAATACTGTGTTGCGGCAATGTCCACAAGTTTTTTTAACCAATGTCTAGATATCGGCAGTTGAACACGGTTAAAAAACCTCTATAGAGATTATTACAAACCTTGTAATATAAATGAGTGTGTGATTAGCCGATAGGTGAGTGCATTTGATCCCTCACTGGGATTGTAAAACTCTTGTACATAAAAGAATTGTCCCTACAATAATAAATGATAAAATGTTAGTACTATTTTTATTATTATTATTATTATTATTATTATTATTATTATTATTATTATTATTATTATTATTATTATTATTACTATTACTATTATTATTATTTAATATAGTGTAAAATGGCTATTGCTGGTCTACGACCGCAATAAAGTTATTTGTAATTGATGTGATGCCCTTTTTTTCTATTTTCTCGCTAACGTTTCTTTCTCATGTTGCATAGATAAATTTGTTCCAGTTTTTGTTTGTTTTAAAAATTTACAACATTGATGACAAGAGGGTGATCCAATTTTCAACTATCTTCAAGGAGGTGGGATAGTGTCATCAGTTAACTGATGCTTATTAATACTTCCTTTCAATTTCTTGAGTACTTTTTCTGTATACTATAAAACAAAGTTTTAAAATGTTTTAAACAAATTTAAGTTTACTACAATATTAATTAAGGAATTACTTGATGTATTTATAATCCTTGCCCATACATTTGGTTGGGCAGCATGAGTACAAATAATGAGTTGGTAGCAAAGAGGAATGCAACCAAGGTTGGTAGTACAGTCTTCCACTGTGCCCAAAAGGATGGTATATTTTCTCAATTGTTTCTGTCCATTCTTCTAAAACTGACAGGGTAGACATGATTCAAATCTTGACCATCAAACAGTGTGATCTTGGGGGCGGGAGGGTGGCAAGAAGCATGCCTTCTCTGTCAAAGCACCTATCTTTTGGAACAGGCCGTTCAGATTCTCTTACCCTCAACCCTGCTGGCATTTCCTAAGAATTTGAAGATATCGATGTTTCCTTAGGCATGGGATTTGGAGATTTGGTTATATCATCAATGTGATTTTTTTTTTTTAGTACGGCTATTGTATGGACTGGGTTAGATTGCCCTCAGTTTGGGGAATGATAATATTTAACCCTGAATGCATACATTCATTTTATATGATTTTTACCATTATATTCAAGTAACTGAAACCTTAAAAAACCTCTAGAACCTAGACTTAAACTTATAAAATTGATGTAATTCACTAAAATCAGAAATAGCTGTAGGATTTCTGGTTAGTCTGTATTAAGCCACATTAGAATAAAAGTCAAGGGAGAAAGTTAAATTTTATACAGTTTTTACATGCAATAAAACCAGCCATTCATTAAATTGGAAATTTATTTTTTCTCTATGCAAGTATGCAGATAAGAGATATCAAACAGAAGCAAACTCCCTTTATGCCTATCTCAGCATAATCTAGATCAGAATCCCATTTGAAAGGGAAAAAGAAACAGATATATTTATTAAGGATAGGGATATTATATAGTTTCACCTTTATATTTGTGAGAATTGGGCACACTATAAATAATATTGTTTTGGGCTAGATTTGGATGGATTGGGTAGATGCAGCTTCATTTCTAATAACTTGCATGCTGCATCAAATCCAGTTTTATCATTAAATTATATGCAACAGAGAACAGCGACTAATCCTGTTTTTTAATGATTAAATATATTTGAACTTATTATTTACCATATACTTTTTTTAAAGCACATGATTAACTTCCAATAAAAAAAATCCCCACCTCCCAGTTTTGTGCTGCTGACTGAAATTGTTTATTTAGAATTGTCCAAAATATGTAACTGCTCATAATGATATTTCCTAAATTGTATTCTTCAAAAGTGTTATGATCTTTGGCCATAGATGTAGGCTAGGAAATTTCAACATGTCTACAGAGGGTAGATTGAAGAAAGATAGGTTATAAATGTATATCCTATAATGCTAACTTTCTCAGGAAAGTAATGGTTAGTATTTTAAAGTGGCTTAATGCTTTCCAATGCAGAAAAAGCAAGATTCAGAAGAGAAAACATTAAAATGAAGAGACACAGTATTCACAGCTCTAAAACTTTGTTTAAGTTGTTCATAAAGCACTGATTATAAATTAAATCTTCCTGTGGGACATTTTCAGGTAATGGCAGGTTTCTTTTTTTCTTCATTACCTGAACAGATTAACTGGGCTTTAAAGATTTAGTGAACAGTTTACACCCTTGAAATAATTTTCACAGAGCAAAGTATATAGTCTAAGGATGTCAATCATATTTAAAAATTATTCCATACGTAACCATTGTTTAAATGGTAACAAACTAACTGCCAGTTAGCTGCAACATTCAGATGCATGATATTCCTTTTAAAGTTAGAATTGTGAAATGCAAGAACAGACAATTGTGGCATATAGAAATCTAGTAATCTTTAATCACGTTTGATATATATTCAGATTATCAATTTTACTTTTTAATTAAGTTTAATTGGATTAACTTCTTCCCCACAAGGCCTCTTAAATTCTTTATGCGATCTAAAGAGCAAAGAAGACCATTACTGTAGCAGTCTACTAAAATATATAATTTTAGTTAACAAAACAAACCAGACCTACTTCTTAATACTAATGTTTATGTTTATTTAATTTGTATACCGCCCTATCTCCCTTACGGGACTCAGGGCGGTGAACAAGCGATAATAAAAATCACAATAAATATCTATTCTAAAATCAGATTAAATTTATTTATTTATTTATTTATTTATATTTAAACTTCTATGCCGCCCTTCTCCCCAGAGGGACTCAGGGCGGCTTACAGCATGTTAAAAAACAACACAAAAAACATTTCCCCTATAAAACCAATTAAAAAACAAATATATTAATAGCTGTGTCATATTTAAAATCTTTAAAAATTTTTAAAAATTATTCCCTATTTAAAATTCACCCT